GGCGGGCTGTGCAGTAAAGGACCCGTAGCATTCATTTGCTCCTTATGGGTGTAACAGACAGACAGACAGACAGACAGGACTGATCAAGGGGTTGGCGCCGGCGCAGCTGGAAGCAATGCTTGTGTGGGCTTAAAGTCTGGTAAAGCAAGAACTAGCTTGCAACATAGACTCCAATCAGCAATCAGTGCAAGCTGGCAACGATCATGTGCAGCGGCTCAGGGCGCGGTGTATATGTGCAACCGGTGCGCATCCTCGCATCCGTCTTCACCGCTTCCAGCTGGCCCTTGCATGGTCTTTCAAGCAGGTCAAGGGGAGGCGGCCTAGGAATCCTTCACGCACCGCCCGTTGACTGGCGTGTAGTCCCCGGAGCAGACCGTGCACTTGTCAGCGGTCTTGAGGCAGACTGCGCAGTTCTTGTCCTTGCTGGGAGCAGAGAGAGAGAAGGGGACAGCAGGGGAGTGAAGCACGGTGGCTGGTGTGTGACAATGCAGGAGCGGCACGGAATGGATGCATGAGGGAACAATACAAAAGGATGCTTGAAGGAACAAAATTGTCAGTCAGCGCATTAATGCGCTGACTGACAGCCGCGGCTGCACTCACCAACGGATGCACTTGCCATTCTTGTCCGGCGCGTAGCCGATGTAGCATTCGGTGCAGCGAGCCGCGTTGCGGTTGCAGATGGCGCTGCAAGCACAACGTGTACAAATCTACATTCAGCGCAAGGGGAGGGGCCAGGCGAGGGGGCCAGCGCTAGCGTGCCACATTCGGCGAGACCCTAGGGCGTCACCCCCCCGGAACGCCGCGTGACTTACCAATTCTTGTCGCGGCACTTGATGCACGCCCCCTTGACAACACCATAACCCCTGCGGCAAGAGGAGGGGAAGGGCAGGAGGCGTCGGCGGCATGCGGGCAACAAGGTGTGTGCGCTGGATGGGGCATGGGAGATGGCGGGGGCTGCTGCTGGCGGCGCCTCACCGCCAGCACGTGCGGCAGATGCCGGTCTTGGAGGCACACTTGTCGCAGTTCTTGTCCTTGCAGTACTTGCACCGGCCTTTCGCGGTGAGGTACACGCCTGCAGCAGAAGCAACAACAGCTCAGGCATTGCGAAGATGGTGGATTCAGTATGGCTTGCTAGCAAGCTGCGCATGGTGTGTTCCCAGCCCCTTCCCCGGGAGTGGAAGCACAAGACGGACTGTGCATGTGCCTGCAAGGGCTGCCCGCATGTGCCTGCAAGGACTGCGGGATACCTCACGCACCTGTGAGGGACTCGCCAATCCAGTCATCACAAGCCTGGCACACGTCCTGGCGGGGGCCGTCACACTTGACGCAACTCCAGCCAGCAATGCCCGGGACCTTGCACTGCAGGCGAAGATAGGGTCGCATGAGAGTGAGAGTGAGCAGTCCCATTGCTCACAAAACACTTGACGCTATGCCGGAGCCACGTGGGAGTCCAGTCACCTTGGCACAGGTCCCCTTGGGGGTCAGCCCATAAGGTGCGAAGCACTTGGCGCACCTGCAAGCATGGGCGATATGGGCCGATATGGGCCAACGGGCTGGCAGCGGCAAGCAGCGACAGGGGGAACAGCTCCTGGGCGGCTGATCAGTGGTGTGGCGGCTGGCGCCCGCGCTTGATTTTTCGTTGGCGTTTACCTGCGGCCGTCCGGGTGGCACCTGTCACAGTTGTCCTTGTACCTGGCGCACTTAGCAGTGGCGCCTGCGTGGGTGACGCCGCGGGGGGCGCCGGCGGCCGGCGGCGGCATGTGAGTGATGGGACATGCACTCCAAGGCTGTTGATGGTTTCCGCATGCCCTCCCAAGAATCAAACCGGAGGCAGGGCTGAGGAGGCCAACTCCATCAGGCAGAACATACATGGCCCGCGTCCCTTGCACGGGGCCGTCAGGTTGCCACGGCATGTCACTAACCAGTGATTGCGAGGGCCAGGAAGGCCGCCAGGAGAGCTACGCGCATGGTGCAGAGGCTCAGGAGGGTGTTGCAGAGGCGCAGGAGAGGGTCCCCTGAATGACACGCACAGAAGAAGAAGAGAATACGCGACAGAACTTAAAAGAACCACAAGTTTCGATTAAACTCCCGTAGATTTGTAGATTTTGAGGGGATTCGCCAGCTGGCCTGTGAGGCTGGCACACTCCGGTGGGGCAGGAACCTGCCCGCTTCCAGCTGGCAGAAGTGGTCGTCGCAGCTGGTCGTCTGCCAGCTGGTCGTCTGCCAAGGAGTCCAGAAAAGCAGTCTCCAAGGGGGGTTTAATGTTGGTGCCGATAGAAAGCCCTCCAGGCGCAGCGTGGGCACCGCCTGCACCACCGCTGGTGCAGCACCCGCTCGGGTGCTGCTCATGCTTACATGGGAATGTCTTGCATTTGTTTCAATGCATGGTTTGGGACATGGGTGAGGGCGTGGGGGGCAGGAACTGCACATGTGCGGTAACATGGCTGTGCCAGGGGTTGGCGCTGCCACCGCTGGCGGCGATCATGTGCAGCAACTCAGGACATGCATGCCTCCATTGGCAGACGCTGGCTGGGTGCCGCTTGCACCTGGCGCATCAGTCTGCACCGCTTCCAGCCAGCTGGCCCTCGCATGGCAAAAGCAAGCCAAGGGACGGCAGCATCAGAATCCAACATGGATCGCCCCTCGACTTGCTTGCAACCCACCCGTCGGCTGCGCCCCGGGAAGCTGGCAGCCGACAACGAATCGCAACATTGGGCGGCAACCTGGGCGCCTCGCAACCTGGGACTCTGCCGCCCCTCTCGGCCCGCGGCCTGCTTCCCAGCGACTCAGTGTCGTGCGTCACGCTGCCTGCCGACAAGGGCGATGCGCCTGCCAACGCAGAGTAGCCGCCGGGCGCGTCGCCACCGGGCGCGGCGCTGCCGACCTGCGCCATGCCGTCGCCCCTGTCTCTGCTGCTGCGGCTCCCGTCGCTGCTGGCCTCGTGGGCGAGGGCCAGCCCCTGCGCCATGCTGGCTAGCTGCAGGAAGAGCACGGGGGGAGTGGGGAGGGACTGGCATGAGGGGTGGGTGCTGGGTGATGGATGCCTGGACCTCTGCTCGGCCAGGGGAGCCATGAAGGGACGCGAATACAGCCTCCTGGGCTTGGGGTTTGGCCCAAACCTTGGATGTGCAGAGCTTCTTCCCACATGAGAGGCATGGGGGATGCCTCTCCGGCTTTGCTCTGCCTGGACATTTACACAGTTGCATCGGGCATCTCCAAGGATGTGATTGGCAGATCGGTTTCGGCTCACTCCGCCGCCCGCCGCCGCCGACATCAGTCGCGGTCGCTGCCGCCGCCGCCGCCGCCGTTCGTCGCCCGGCCGCCGTGGCGCTTCACCACAGTCTTCTTGGCCGGCCCCCGCCCGCCCTCCTCCTCCTGCTGCATGCCCACCGCCCAGTCGGGGGCCACCTGCGCACGCGCCAGAGGGCAGCCGGAGTGGTGGGCAAAAAACGTGCAGCACGGTTACTGCCATGCCATGCCGTGCCTCCTCGCCTCCTCCACCCTCCCTCCCAGCTTGGACACAGGGCTCTCCATCCCGCCCCCTCCTTCCTCCTTAAAAACGCCTGCCCCTTTCTGCACTACCACCACCTAACATGGTCTTCTGCAGCAGCACCACCACACAATCGTAGCACACCACCACCACCACACGCGCCCCATCCCCACCCGCTTGTCGTAGTTGTAGTTGTAGAACAGCTCGTCCCCCGCCGCCACATCTCGGTTGGCCACGATGGCCACGCGGTGGTCGCCGTCAACCATCAGGATCCTGCAGGCATAGAGGGAGGGGAGGACACACCCGTGCGTGGGGTAGGCAGGCAGGGTGAAAGAAAGGAAGAAAGAATACGCCCGTGGGCGTGGGTTGAGGAAACCGGTGGACCAGGCAGGGTGTGTGTTGGGGGGAGCGGGAGCAGCGAGGCGCGCAGCACCGGAGCACAGGCTGCGGCGCGGGGAGGCGTGCGGGCGCGTGCGCGGCGCTCACTCTGCGCGGCAGTTGGCGGTGGTGGAGTGGTTGGCAAAGCGCAGCGTGTTGCCCTTCTGCCGCGCATCGATCACCCACTCCAGGCTGCGGGTGGGGCGGGGGCAGGGTGGCGGTGACGGCGGCGGCAGGTCGGATACTGCCCGTACCTCCCCGGCCCTCCTTTCCCAGCCAGCCTCCGCAGCAAACCACCCCAGCCCTGCAGCCCCACGTCGCCCCCGCTGCAGCCCCTCCAGCCCTGCCCGCCCCTCTGCACCCCCTCCTAGCTCCCCTCCCGCCCCCCGCGCAGCTCCCAGGGGCGCAATGTGCTTTCTTCCCATCAATCCCCCCGCCCCCTCACTTGAGGTTGACAGGTACGAGTTGTCGTCCCTGTCGTACACGGTGCCCCGCCGGTCCGCCTCCTCATGGTTGATCAGCTCCCCGCAATACTCGCCCTGCGGGGTGTGGATTGGGGGGCGGGGGGGGTGGCAGGCGCCACACGGTGCCGGCGCACGACCACCGCCACCGGCTGTTTTGTACACTCCCCAACACACCCTCAACACATACCCCAACACACATACACACAGCCAGCCATCCCTTGCCGCCGCCCTCACGATGAAGTCGTCCTTCTGCGCGTCCTGCTGCAAAAAGGCGCCCCAGCCCTGGATGCCGCTCAGCCCCATCAGCACCCGCTTCTTCTGGCCCAGGCGGATGCGGAAGTTGTTGCACTGCCAACCCTCGCGGTGAGCCCCCGTCAGCGTGGGCTTGCAGCTCTGCAGGGGTTCGGGGAGGGGCAGGGGGAGGGGCAGGGTGGGGCCTGTGGCGCTGGATGGGCATGCGCTGGCACTGCACACTGCAGTGGTGCGGGTGGCGGCGCTGGCAGGGGGAGGAGGAGGCAGGTGGCGGCAGCGAGGCAGGCGGCCCCAGGACGCCGAAGCCGTCTTGGGGGCATGCGCTGGACGTGGGGGGCGTCGGGAGCTGGCCGGCCCACACACTGGCCGGTGGCAGCAGCAGCAGCAGCATGGCAGCTGCGGGCCTACCTTGCACAGGTCTGGGTCGCACTCGCGCCCCGCCGCCAGGCAGGGGCACTGCTTGGTGGAGCACCGCTTGCCCAGCTGCAGGCAGGAGGGCGGGCAGGCAGAGAGGCAGGGCGGGTGGGTGGGCGGACGGGCAGCGGTGGCGCGCCGGCACCGAGGCAGGCGCCGCCCAGCCGGCTGCTGCGCCTTGGCAGCACCGCCAGGCAGAGCACAGAGCTCCTCACACGTCAGCACGCACCTCGCCAGGCACGCTGCCAAGGCCAGGCCGGCGCACCGCTGCCGACCAGCCCCGACACACACACACACACA